CCTGAACCCAGGAGGCGGAGGTTGCGGTGAGCCGAGATCGCGCCATTGCACTCCAGCCTGGGTAACAAGAGTGAAACTCTGTCTCAAAAAAAAAAAAAATATATATATATAATGATAATAATAATAGTGTATTGTATGTTTTTAATCACAAAAAGAGTAGAATTGGAATGCTCCTAACAAAGAAATAATAAAGGCTTGAGGAGATGGCTACCCTAATCACTGAGAGTTATTATACATTGTACGTCTGCATTAAAACATCAGTGTACCCCATAAATAGATACACCTTTTATGCACCCACAATAATTAAACATTAAAAAAATTTAATTAGTAAGCAAAATGTGACAAACACTGAGACTGATGGCACAGTGTGGAAAAATGCTAATCTAAGTAAAATTCTTGACAGCTTTATTAAGATGCAATTTATATGCAATAAAATATATCCATCTTGTGTATGCAGTTCCATGATTCTAGTACATATGCAGAGCTGTGCACCCACTGCTACAGTCCAGTTTCCGGATATTCCATTACCTCAAAAGGATCCTTCTGGCATTCACTCACCGCAGCCCACCCAGCCCCTGACCACCACTTAACTACCTTCTGTCTTTATGCATGTGCCTCCTCTGGACGTGTCCTATGAATAGGATCACACAGAACGTGGCCTTTGGTGGCTGCCTTTTCACTTAGCATGCTGTCCTGAAGGTCCACCCACACTGGAGCATGTTCCTGGCTGCACAATATTCCAGAGTCTGACATACCCACTTTGATTGTCCGTTCATCAGCTGATGGACATATGTAGGTTAGCCAGCCCGGGGCTAGTCTACGTGCAGAAGGTCCTTGCTTTGGTCCTGCTTCATGTGTGTGGAGACCTTCAGAGCGCAGTAACCGATATAAAGAAAACAAACCTGGGTGGCGTGTTAGAGTGGGAGGCGCTACCCTATGCATTGGGCCATCATTCATATTTATTGTGGCTTACTGTATTCCAAGTACTATTCTAGACGCCGCCCAAATCCTTGCCCTTACAGAACGTATATTCTAGTGGGGACCAGACAACAATCACAGAATACTGAGTTAAGAGACAGAGGCAACCCTGGGGAGGCTCGTTGCTATTATGCCTCAGGTGAATGTGAGCCAACAAAGTAAGAAAGAGAGTTCCCAGGCACGGTGGCTCACGCCTGGAATCACAGCACTGTGGGAAAAGGGGATGGGCAGCTCGCTTGAACTCAGCAGTTCAAAACCAGCCTGGGCAACATGGTGAACCCTATCTTTACTAAAAGTAGAAAAATCAGCTAAGCATGGTGGTGTGTACCTATAATCCCTGCTTTTCAGGAGGCTGAGGTGGGAGGATCATCTGAGCCCAGGAAGTGGAGGCTGCAGTGAGCCAAGATTGCACCACTGCCCTCCAGTCTGGACAACAGAGCAAGACCCTGTCACAAAAGAAACAAAAAAAAAAAAAGGAAAAGAAAGAAAGGGAGTCGTACAGGTACTGGTGGGAACAGTGTCCCAGGAGAGGGAAAGGCACGGAGACCGGGTACTCAAAGGCACCTCTGAGGAAGTAATCTTAGAGCTGAACTTGCGTAACGAGGAGGAGCCAGGCTCGCACAGATCTGGGAGAAGACCAGCGAGGTGAGGGGGCAACGATCAGAGCCACAAGAAGCCCCGAAGGGACGCCTGGGAACTGAGGACAGCCAGCAGGGATGACTCCTGGGGTTTGGCCTGAGCCACAGGGAGGCCCTGCCACTTTCCGACAGTGGAGAGGGCAGGGCTGTGGGGTGTATGTGGCGGGCATGGGGTCCCGCTGGAAACAGCTCTCTTTGCCAACATGAATCTGTTTGAACATCAAATGAAAATATCGGGCCAGCAGTTAGAGCTGAGTGTCTGCCACATGGAGACCTAGAGCTACAGGGTGGAGGAACATGCAGGGGAGCAACAAGAGGGCGTCACTCCCTGGTGCAGCACCTGGCCAGAGTGGGTGCTCAGCCACGACCCAGTCCACCTCCTACCACAGCACCGCTGAGAATAGACTGGACCCTTCCTGAAACAAAAAACAAAGGGAAGAGTGTGTGGGGGTGGTGAGCTTCCCGTGGCTGCTTTAACAAGTCACCACCAACTCTGCTGCTTAAACTACATTTATTCTCTTGCAGTTCTGCAGCTCAGAAGTCCAAAATGAAGGGACAGGCAGGGATGGTTCCTTCTGGAGGCCCTGCAGGGAGATCTGCTTTCTCAGTTTCGACACCTGCTCACCTCTCCTGGGTAGAAGCCTCTGCTCCCTCTGCAAAGCACATCCCTCCGGCCTCTGCTCTGCCACCATCCCTCCGGCCTCCAGCCTCTGCTCTGTCACTGGTGACTTCTCCTGCCTTTGACCTTCTTGCTTCCCTCTTATCAGGACTCCTGCAATTGCACAGAGGGCCCACGGCCCACACGATAATCCAGGACTGTCCCCTCATCTAAAGTCCTTAATTCCACCACTTCTGCACAGCCCCTTTTACCGTGCAAGGCGACACGATCATAGGCTCCAGTGATCAGGACACGGACATCTGTGCTGGCAGGACAGGGAGGCGTGACTCAGCCCACCACAGGGTGTAAACGGTATCCAGGACATGGGGTTTGCCAAACAGCAACAACAAAACCACCCAATTCTTGTAAAACCATGTGGTGTGCCATGTTTTATGGCAGAGTCATGACCTGTTCAAGTCCTAAATCCCAGAAGACGCTGCATCTGCAGACATGTTTGCGTGTCGCGCCTGCACATGGGCCACGCTAATCTTCTCTGCGTTGGTCCAGTTCTAGTACATGTGGTCTTTAAAGAGGTGATTAAGATAAAATGAGGCCACTGGGTTGAGCCCTAATCCGACAGGACTGGTGTCCTCGCAGGAAGAGATTAGGACACACACGTGTCAAGAGAAGATGTGAGGACTCAAGGGGAAGACACAGTCCAGGAGCCAAGGTGAGACCAAAGAGGACCCAGCCCCACTGACACCCTCATCTCAGAGTCCGCCTAACTCTGAGAAGATACTTTCTGAGGTTTGAGTCGCCCGTTCTACTGCATTTTGATCTGGCGGCCAAGCCGTTACTGGTCGAGGTATGGCTCTCACTCCAGGTCTGACTGGCCTTCAACATTCCTTCCTGCATCCGTTCCTTCCACAGACACGCATGACCAAATGTCTGCTCTGTGTGAGGAACAAAGTCAAGGAGATAAAAGACCCCGTCCAGACGCACTGCCTCGAAAGGAGACAGCCGTGAACCCTGAGCGACAGAGGCAGGAGCAGCTGTCTGTACCTCGGGAAACAGCTCCGCAGGGCCTTCACCTTCACCAGCCACAGTCACAGCCAGCCGGTCACAGTAGTCAGTAGATGCTGCCCTTGGGCCAAACATTTCAGCCAAATAAACCACAGGCAAGGTCCTGCTCTACCTTTTGAAGTGAGGACACAAACAATAAACAGCTATTTCCTTTCTGATAGTGACAGGTGCTGGGGGGGGTGGCTACACTGGCTGGTGGGGTGGGGGCAGCCCTGCAGAAGCCGGGCTGAGCTGGGACCCCAGTGCGACAGGTGGCGGAGGGAGGGCCAGCGCCTGAGGGGCTGGTGTGGGAAGTAGCTGGCTGGACGCAGAAGCAGAGGAACACCCAAGGGGCTCCCGGAGGAGCAGGGAGGGAGAAGAGGTTTTCTGAGGGGTGGAGGCAGGGGTCGCACGTGCTGGGCCTTCAAGGGCCATGAAATGGTTACTCACTGCTATATAACAAACCCCCCCAAAAGCAGTGGCTTAACCGGCTACTTACTGTCTCTCAGGATTACACTGGCTGCCTGGTGCAGCACTGTGCTGGCGTTTAACTACCTTCTCTACAGAAAAAATCAAAAGCAAAATAAAAAACCACCCTGATTTGAAGCATTTACCAATGTCCACAGTACGGACACTCCTCCCAGGGCCTGTTCCAACCAGACGACCACCTGAGCTGAGTGGGTGAGGCTGGAAGGGGCACGTCCCACACCAGCCACAGCAGAGCACACCCACAGGCGTGCGGGTAAGAGGCAGGTGCACTGAACTAACCAGAAAGCCGTGTGTCCTGAGCACTCATCGCCTTTGTTTTAAACGTAACTCAATTCTGAGTTGATAGGATGCCTGAATAATGGCCGTGTCTACCTGTTACCAGCTCTTGGCGCTCCTGGAGGTGGCTCCCCGGAAGATCACCTGGCTCCGTGGTGCTGCCAGTCAGCACATGGATCTGCAGGGCTAGGCTAGGCTGCGCTCTGCATACGCCCTCCGTCCTCAGGGAGGCACCACTGGCTTCTCTACACAGCTGCAGCCCACGTGGAGCCCACGTGGAGGGAGGCAGAGGGCGGGGATGGCCCTGGGACAGCGTTTTGTTTACGCATCAAGCCCAGCTGGAGGGAGGATCTACTCAAGCCTCCTAAAGCCCTTCCGTTCTCGCACTTTCCTTCCCTTCCCAGTGCAGTGAGGGGGTCCGGGTGACCTAGTGGCAGTGATGTCGTCGGGGCCTCTTCGGGGAGCCGGCTGCAGCTGTCTTGGGGCCAGCACTGCTCCACTATCTCCAGGCTGCCAGCCCGCAGCTGGGGCGCTGTCACTAGGGAGCCCTTACCAGCACAGGCCCCTTCCAGACCCAGCTGCCTCTCTGCTTTGGGCACATCCTGTGGTGAAGGCCACGCTGTGCCGGGAGCAGCCCTGGATCCCTGCCTCTTTCAGACCTGGGACCAACCACTCCCTTCCCACAGGCCCTGAGGGCATTAAGATGACTTAAAGCAGATTTAACAGTCTTTGTAGGCGACCTTAGGAGGAGGGTTGGCCTGAATCCCCAGTGTCTGTTTTAAGCCAATCTTCCCTGCCTTCCTGGCTGCAGTCAGGAACCCTGACAGAGGTCATCCCAGTGAGGCATCACTGGAGTGGACGGGCTCACCTAGAACCCGAGGCCCCCTTCCCCAGCTTGGAGCCGATGGGTGAGCAGGGCTGACCCCCACTTCTGAGGGGCACCAGGAGGATGAGGTGCCCTTCACTGTACCAGGGAGCACAGAGGGAGCCACGGGTGGGTAGCGCATGGTAAGACAGTCAGTGGGGCCAGCGGGCGACAGCAGCCCAGCCCTGGGTGTCAGTGGGGCCAAGGCGCCAGGCAGAAGCAGTGGGGTCTGTGGCTGCTGCCAGGCTGCCCTCCAGGAAGCCTGCAGATGACGCAGACAGCCACTCCACGGGGAGAGCAGGGCTCCAAAACAGCCACAGCGTGTGGGTCCTTCTGGGTGGGATGGCTGGGTATTGCGGAAGAGGAAGTACAGAAGCTCATGAAAACATGGCATGAGTTCACAGCCACTGCTTCCATAACACATGGATCCTTACCACGCCTAGGGAGTAACTGCCCAGGTCCCTGGTTCCATAAAACACAGCTCCTTAACCACGCCTGGGGAATGACTGCCCTGATCCCTGGTTCCATAAAACACAGCTCCTTACCACACCTGGGGAGTAACTGCCCTGATCCTTGGTTCCATAAAACATGGCTCCTTACCACGCCTGGGGAGTAACTGCCCAGGTCCCTGGTTCCATAAAACACAGCTCCTTACCACGCCTGGGGAATGACTGTCCTGATCCCTGGTTCCATAAAACATGGCTCCTTACCACGCCTGGGGAGTAACTGCCCTGATCCCAAGGCCTCCTCCCTCACGTCAGAGCCAAACCCAAGCTCTGTTCCAATTGCTCCATGCAGAGATGCCCTTTTCGGTGAGGCAGGCATTGGATTTCTCTGAAGGACTGAGGAAGTAGAGTGAGTCCCCAGGACACCTGGAGCCCCAGGGCTCTGTGAGCTGCCCTGGCCTCCCTGGACAGGTGCAGCTGGCCCTGAGAAAAGCTCTGCATCCTCTATGTTCTTTCTACATCTTGGAGATGGGAGCGGGGAGAGTGAATGATCAACTGGTCTCTCTAAGACACATACATGGGGCAGCTCCAGCTCACTTTACAGGCGAATGCTGGCCTTCCTTCTCAGACTCACCCCTGCAAAAACTCAGGACCTACCCTCTCAGCCTCATCCCTGTACCAATATGGGACCACCCCTCTTGGCCTCACACCTCCACAAACTTGGGAGCTCTCCTCTTAGCCTTGCCCCTGCATAAACTCGGGACCTCCTCTCTCGGCCTTGGCCCTGCAAACTCGGGACCGCCCTTCTTGGCCTCACCCCTGCACAAACTTGGGACCTCCCCTCTCAGCCTCACCCCTGCATAAACTTGAGACCTCCCTCTCTGCCTTGCCCCTGCACAAACTCAGGGTCTCCGTATGGCAGCTTCATCTGGTGCTCTGCCAAAGACAAGGCCTCCACGTTGAATGAACAGGCTGTGGCTTCCCAGCATTGGCGGAATGAAGAGACACTGAGCAGGTTTCACCAGATGCTGAGACTTCAGGCCCCAACCTCAGGTCAGGCATGACTCTATGGAGTCGCTGAGGGACAGCAGGCGACAGAGTAGCCATCGCTAGCATAAGGCTCTTGGAGCTCCCGCTGCATGAGGCCTGGCTCCCTGACATGGGAAGTGAGGCAGCCCCATACACGAGCCCAACACGAGGGGGAGGAGCAAACACGGCTCATTTATTACAATGCAAAAGAGAGGACTTTCCTCCACAAATACAGAGTGCTGCTTCTCAGTTTCTATCAAGAGCAAGACAGTTGAAAATTGTATTCCTGAGAAGAAGCAAAAAAGTTATCAGTTTGCAAACAAGGGCAACAGGTGATTTCAACAAAAGATAAAAATCTTTTTTTTCCCCCAGAAATCAAAATTTCAAGTATTATTCCAGATGACACGGGAAACCTAGCACAGAAGGAAGCCAAGGTGCCCTTAGGCTCTGCAGGGTCTCAGAGGAAGGGCCCGGGCAGTATGAGGGAGCGGCGTGTCCTGGGACCTGTGCCCAGCCCCGGCTTGGGACCACGGTTGCTCACACATTAGCAAGGAGCCGGTAACCTGACGGCCACATCGAGGGTTAACAGTTTCAGACATTTGAAGGTTTTTTTTTTTTTTAATAAACAGAAGCATAAGCTTATTCTTTCAAATACCATACTATACCCAATTTTAGTCAATTTGTAAATTATAAATTATATTATTTGTGCTACAGTTTGTGACAATTAAATCTTATTAGAAGATAAGCACCAAACCTATTCAAATAAAAAATATATAAAATGCTGTGGTTTTCCCAGCAGCAGAATATTCTGTACATCCTGTAGGCTGTAAACTTACGCTCCCTTCCCCTGAACCAATGGTTTTGATAATGGTTCCCCTTTCTCCCTTGAAACTTTTCCTGAAAACAGATTTCTGCTTTAACTGTAATGACAGAAAAGGTACAGAAGAGCAAACCTGCACTGCCCCTCTCGGCGGGACGGCTGTGTGTGGCAGGAAGGGCTTAGTCTCTGCTGTTCATCCAAGGGCGAGCCCTGCCCTGTGCTCACCAGGAGGGCGGGTTGTGGCCCCCAGGGCTGTGAGGGAGGGTCTCACTCAGAGGGTGAAGCTCCACAGAAGAAAGAGTCACCCCAGAGTACCTGCTGGAGACCCTGCGCCCCTCAGGGGGCCGTGCAAATGCCCTGACATGTTTGTCTCTGTATTTTGAAAACGCGCTCTCTTCACCTCCAGTGCTGAAAGCTGCTCGGGGCCTCTGGATGCTTAGTTTTTGAACCTTGTCTGTTCACAGATATGATTGAATTTCCTGCAGGGAGAAAATGGCCAAATTACACAAGAGAGCACCAGAGACGCATTCTAATAAATTACACAAGAGAACATGAGAGAGGCATTCAAATAAACCCATGCTGAAACCATACACTGGAAGAGATCCTGAGAAAGAGCGTGTGGGTTTTTTATAGTATCAAAGAAACTAACCCCCAAAGGCAAACTTATTTTTCTTTTTAAAATTTTGAAACAGAAGTGAATATATCTGGTTGGGTGCAGTGGCTCATGCCTGTAATCCAGCACTTTGGGAGGCCGAGGCAGGCAGATCACTTGAGATCAGATGGAGACCAGCCTGGCCAACATGGTGAAACCGTCTCTCTACTAAAAATACAAAACTTAGCCAGGCTTGGTGGCAACTGCCTGTAATCCCAGCTACTCGGGAGGCTGAGGTAGGGTAATCGCTTGAACCCGGGAGGCAGCAGTTGCAGTGAGCCAAGATCATGCTACTGCACTCCAGCCAGGGAGACAGAAAGAGACTCCATCTCAAAAAAAAAAAAAAAAAAAAAAAGAAAAAAAAAAAAAAAAAAAAAAAAGTAGGCCAGGCACAGTGGGGTGTGCCTGCAGTCCCAGCTACTCCGGAGGCTGAGGTGGGAGGATCGCTTGAGCCCAGGAGTTCTGGGCTGTAGTGTGCTATGCCAATCAGGTGTCCGCAATAAGTTCAGCATCAATATGGTGACCTCCCAGGAGCGGGGGATCACCAGGTTGCCTATGGAAGGGTGAACCGGCCCAGGTCAGAAACAGAGCAGGTCAAAACTCCCATGCTGATCAGTAGTGGGATCACACCTGTGAATAGCCACTGCACTCCAGCCTGGGCAGCATGGCAAGACCCCATCTCTTAAAAAAAAAAAAAGTGTGAGGCCGAGCGTGGTGGCTCATGCCTGTAATCCCAGCACTTTGGGAGGCCGAGGCGGGTGGATCACGAGGTCAAGAGATCGAGACCATCCTGGTCAACATGGTGAAACCCCGTCTCTACTAAAAATACAAAAAATTAGCTGGGCATGGTGCCATGTGCCTGTAGTCCCAGCTACTCAGGAGGCTGAGGCAGGAGAATTGCTTGAACCCAGGAGGCGGAGGTTGCGGTGAGCCGAGATCGCGCGATTGCACTCCAGCCTGGGTAACAAGAGCGAAACTCCGTCTCCAAAAAAAAAAAAAAAAAAAAGTGTGAATATCTTAGGATCTTAGGTAACTTTCTTAGCGAAGAGAATAAAAGCTGTACTTCTCGGGCATCCCCGTGGCATCCGCTAATAGGGCTGAGGCAGACGCACCAAGCTGGATGGCCTGTGGCCACCTTCCCTCTCCACACCCGTGGGCAAGGAGGACCAGCGCGGCTCTGCTATCCTGATGCACACTTCTTTCGGAAAGTGTCTGCCAGTCAACAGTGAAATCATTTTTTGTAACAACATGGTCACTTCCATGTGCTGTTTGTGCTCAAGACAGAAAGCAACATTTTTATTCCACAAAATCCTTGAGAGGGAGGCGCCTTTATCTGAGTCCTCACAACACCCTTGTCCTGAGGGTCCCATCTCCATCAGTTTAATCTGAACTCCTTGGCCACAGGAGTGATTTACAGGATCACCTAACCTGAGAGACGCCTCCTGACCTACGCCTCCCAGGGCAATGCAGATGGCGCTGTGAGCCTCCTTTAGAGACCATGGAAAGACACCACGTGAGAGTGACAAGGTGACAGCGATCACAAATGCCTGCTCATGGCAGGGACGGAAACCCAGCTGCGCAGTGCTACATGAGGCGGGCCTGAGGCTTGGGATGAAGTTCTCAGTGACTGCAGCCTCTGATTTAGACACTGTGAAGCCTCAAACAATGGGTGTGCCCCAGATGCCTCAGGCGACACATCAAGCAACTCCAGCCAGGAAGACACAGAGGTGAAAGATGGGGGCAAAACCGCATGAAATGAAGGGATGAAGGATGAGCAAGATTTCTAAATGAAGATGCCAGTTCATAAAAGACGCAACTTGGCCGGGTGCGGTGGCTCACGCCTGTAATCCCAGCACCTTGGGAGGCAGAGGCTGGCAGTTCACAAGGTCAACAGATAGAGACCACCCTGACCAACATGGTGAATACAAAAATTAGCTGGGTGTGGTGGTGCACACCTGTAGTCCCAGCTACTCAGGAGGCTGAAGCAGGAGAATCACTTGAACCCAGGAGGCAGAGGTTGCAGTGAGCAGAGAGCATGCCACTGCACTCCAGCCTGGGTGACAGAGCAAGGCTCTGTCTCAAAAAAAAAACCAAAAAGGCACAACTTGACAGAAGCATAATGACCACATCAGCATGTTTATAAGCAGACAGTTAACTCATTCACTGCCCTGCAGCTGATGCCTACGCCCCCAGCTGCACTCACATGGCGTGGTGAGCCTTCACCTGAGTGCGGCAGTTACGGCCCCAGTAGCAGTCAGGACGGGATGTTACAGCCGCTGGAAAAAGAAAGGTTACGCATCTATTAGATGTATCGCACACACCCATTCAGCTAACAGAATTTCAGCAGAGATCCAAAAAGAGACGCTGCGGCTGTAACGTGCAGCCTCTGGTCTCTCTATAACTAGTTTCCTTGGACTGTTCTAAGACTTCAGGAAAGGAAACGCACGGTTAACTAAAAACCCAACTGAGGGTCAGGCAAGGTGGCTCACTCACCCCTGTAATGCCAGCACTTTGGGAGGCCAAGGTGAGCAGATCACTTGAGGTCAGGAGTTCAAGACTAGCCTGGCCAACATGGTGAAACCCCATCTCTACTAAAAATACAAAAAATTAGCCAGGTGTGGTGGTAGGCGCCTGTAATCCCAGCTACTCAGGAAACTGAGGCAGGAGAATCGCTTGAACCTGAGAGAGAGTAGTTACAGTGAGCCAAGGTCGTGCCACTGCATTCCAGCCTAGGGAATAAGAGCAAGAAACTCTGTCTCAAAAATAAGTAAATAACTAAAAATTAAAAAATTAAAGCCTAATTGAGGAAATGAAACTACCCCAGCTGTCTACTGGATGTCTTTACATATCTCTGTTTTAGAAACCCACGTTACACTCATGAGTAATCGCAAACAGACCTATGGCTTAAGACAACCAAGGCCCTCCATGGTCTGCCTGTCCTGTGGGCTCTGGACTGAGGCCGACTTCTGCTGAGAACACAGAGCATAGGGCAAACTGGGTGTCTGTTAAGAAGAGAGTGCAGGCAGGGCACGGGGGCTCACGCCTGTAATCCCAGCACTTTGGGAGGCCAAGGCAGGTGGATCTCCTAAGGTCAGGTGTTAGAGACCAGCGTGGCCAACATGGTGAAACCCCATCTCTACTAAAGATACAAAAAATTAGCCGGGCATGCTACCGGGTGCCTGTAATCCCAGCTACTTGGGGGGCCGAGGCAGGAAAATTGTTGGAACCCACGAGGCGGAGGGTGCAGTGCGTCAAGACTGCGCCGAGGTGGGTGGATCACAAGGTCAAGAGATCGAGACCATCCTGGTCAACATGGTGAAACCCCGTCTCTACTAAAA